AATCGATAAAAGTAATCGATAATCCTAAAAACCAATATTGTATTCGGAATCCCCATGCTCGATTACCCCCCTGTGCAAACTCCCAGCCTCCTAGCTCAAACTTTGCAAAAAAATCGATAAAATCGATAAAAGTAATCGATAATCCTGAAAACCAATATTGTATTCGGAATCCTCATGCTCGATTACCCCTCTGTGCCAACTCCCAGCCCCGTAGGTGAACTCAGCAAAAAAATCGATAAAAATCGATAAAATCGATATCGATCGATGACGAAAAGTAGCCTATGACACCCGCCGGGGCCCGAAGTGTATGTGTGCCAAGTTTGGTCCGGAACGGTTCAGAAATGGAATTTTCTATTCGGAACATACGTACACACATACATACATACATATGTACATACATACAGACAGACAGACAAACAGACATTCAGCTTTATATATAAGATGAGTGGCTGAGAGGCACCAAAGCAATGGACGCCACTAATAACATAAACAATGTCTGCGGAGAAGAAGCACTGACTGATCCCACTGTGCGCCGCTGGTACAGCCGCTTCAAGGCGGGCGATACCAGACTCGAAGACGCTGAACGCAGCCGAGCTCCAATGCGCGTCAATAATGAAGAATTGCGCCGTTCCTTGGAAGAGAAACCAGATACACTGTGCGCAAGTTGGCCAAGAAGATCGGATGCCACAATACAACAGCTTTCGGCATCTCCAGAATATCAATTACCGGAAAGTGTTGGCAAGATGGACACCTCATCATTTGAGCGAAGCCGCTAAGGACTGTCATGTTAACATCTGTCAGTCGCTCCTGCTCCCCTTTCAAAGAAGGGATTTTCTCGGTGATGTAATTGCTGGAGACGAAAGCTACGTCCTTTATGACAATGTCAAAAGGCGAGCCTTCTGGTTACCGAAAGAACTGTTGTGTTTGCCATGGCGTGTGTAGGAAGACGACTGGAGACCGAGTTCTTTACTTAACGAGGAACTGAGAATGTATTATACTTACTAAGGAATGCCTATATTTAGTGCACACAACTATATCACATATCATAAACAACAGATCAACATATTCGTTCATTCTTCTCGAGCATTGATTTCTTGTGCGGCTGCACAACACCTCCCCTTCTAAGTGAAGCGGTGGGTCCTTTCCGCGCTGAGAATTGAGTTGACACTTCATCTTCTTAGGTTGCACTTTATGTTTCTCGTCAGCCGAGTACAGTGGACCTGGAGCGATATAAACTTCGTATTCAGTGAACATCTCACCAAAGGAGCAGTCATCCAAAGTTGGGCTTGATATATCGCGACAATGCATGGACTTTTGTACTGCCTCGGCTAACGGCTCCTCCCTTTTCGGCTTGGATACTAGGCACTGGAAGTTGTCGACGATTCTTTCGGCTTGTTCGTTGAACTGCTGATGGCGAGTAAGTCGAACTTGTCTGGCCTTTCCAGAATCGCGGATTTCGGCTGTCCTGAATTGAGTAATATCATAAGAAACAGGTACCTCGGCACTTCCAAATTGACTGGATTTTGAACGGGTTTTGCCGAATATCTTGCTCTCATCCTCTTTTTCGAGCACAAAGGCAGCGGTTGCCTTCGTGCTGTCTTCTGTTTTGGGTTGAAACATTTCTGCGAACTGTGTCGTCAGGTGAGTTTGCTTCTTGCCAAGTGTATCGTTCGTAGCGGTCACTGCATTCAAATTGTGATAGCCGATGTCACTGTGAAAGGCACAGTCGCTCTGGTTCCGATGCACTTCAAGTAGAGCTGGTCCATCAAGTACATTTGTGGTACCATTCAAGGCGATGCCATTCAGCGCATGCTCACATGTGCCGTGTCCATGGCATGTAATGCTGGTCCCATTAGCAGCAGTCGAATTATGTTTCGGGTTCTTTAGCTTGTGTCGGCCAGTCTTGATCCATGTGTCGCGATCTTCAGCTCCACAGTCAAGTCGTAACTCGATACTTGTGTTGTTGATTTTCACATTGCAGTACGACTTCGTTTCTTTAGGCGGTGAGATGACGACAGCATGGACGTCCTTGGCTTCATCAACAAATAGTTTACGTAGACAGTACCTCTCTAAATGTCCACGCTTCTTGCAGTAGTTGCATTCAGTGATCGGCTTCTCGCACTTCCTGGTCCTATGGGTCTTCGCTCCGCAGTTCATACAAAGATGTGTTCTGGGCTTGTGACCGATAAATGGCTTCCGCTTCTCGTCTCGCTGCATCGCGTTGACTTGCGGGTTCTCATTCATCTGATTCACGCTGACCTGAGGTACCTTGGCTTTGTCGATCACCTGTATGTGATTCTGCAGTTCCAAGTAGTCTTTGTACTCTTCGTTGGATTCTTGCTTCGTCAGTTCAGCCATGGGTTCTCGACAAGACTTCCACAATTCCATGATTTGCTTCATTAGAAAGTGGATCGTGTCCGTGTTCGGGCTCGGGTTCGGGTTCTGATCGAATTCTGGTAGACGAGTAGCGAGTGCATTCATCACGTAATCCTCGCTGGATCCTTGTTCCTTCTTTACTTCTTTCCGCAGCTCCATGATTTGCAGCATCAGAAGGTGGGTTGGGTCCATGTTGGGGGTCGGGTTCGGGCTCGGGTTCGGGTTCTGATCGCCAGTTGTTGTGTTTGCCATGGCGTGTGTAGGAAGACGACTGGAGACCGAGTCTTTTACTTGACGGCAAGGAACTAAGAATGTATTATACCTACTAAGGAATGTCTATATATAGTGCACACAACTATATCACATATCATAAACAACAGATCAACATATTCGTTCATTCTTCTCGAGCATTGGTTTCTTGTGCGGCTGCACAACAAGAACAACAGCTGTGTGATCCCAAAGTGAACCGCCTTCAACATAAGGTCATGTTGTCTTGCTGGTTTGATTCCAGGGAAATGGTCTATTACGAGTTACTGCCCGAAGGCGCTACGATCACCACAACCGTATACACACAGCAGCTCGAAAGACTGGCGCCAGCAGTTCGAGAAAAACGCCCAAGACGTGCAACAATCCAGCTCCTCCACGACAGCGCGCCAGCACATCGAGCTTTGGCCACCCAACAAAAATTAGCTGAGCTAGAGCGGCAGATGGTACCCCATCCACCGTATAGCCCGGACCTTTCAACTTGCGACTATAAGCTTTTCCGCACTCTCAAACAGTTTCTCAGCTGGAGGCGCTTCGCTGATGAAGAAGAGGTGAAAAAGGCACTTGACGAATTTTTTCAGGCACAATTACTCAGCTTATGGAAAAGCGGAATCGAAGAGCTGCCCGACAGATGGGCGAAGGTCATAGCAACCAAGGAGACTATATACTTGATTGAGTTTCTTGTTTATAAAATTTGTAATAAACAAAGTTAGTAAATTTTTCGGACAGAACTTATGCAGCAACCTAACAGAAAGTAGCCAATTCTCTCATCCTCGAAAACAGCTTTGTTCATTCTTTACTACAAAAAACGTAGAAATGTGCATGTTCTTGGGCTCTCGAAACGTCCAGAGATTACGTAAGGAATGCCCTTGCCAACAATTTTAATCCCAAAAGTGACATCTTAAACTGTAGAATTAGGAGGCAGGAAACTCAAAAATGTTGTCGCATGAACTGTACAGAGTCTTCTAAGAGCAGGTTTTCTTTCAAGACAATTCACTTTACGCAGAACCTAATATTTAGATTCAATAATTCACCACAAATCTCCAATAGTTCCCTTCTCATCCAAGATATCTGCCCAAATCAAGCAAGCTACAAAGTTTGCACCGTTTTGAAAATATCAGACAGGTGTAAGGAAATATTATTCAAAAGAGATAAATGTAAATTCACTGGAAATCGGTTTGTGACTTTGGGGTAAACAAATTGAGCAGTTCGACGAGCTCTTCTATAATCACATCTTCATAGCAATCTCACGTTTTTCTCGTTCGTTGAATTTGCCGAAGCGCAAAGCACAGAAGACGGGCGAATATAAAGAGAGACACTGAAAATGCTACAGTCTTTATAACGACAGACGTTGAGTTTATATTGCAACTCATGCCAGTAACTGATCCTAAATAAACTGCACTTACAGTTTTGCTAAAGTGGAGTTTGGTACCATCAATTACAGGGACGGTATCCGATGTGTGCGGCTGTTGAGATAAGAAATCAAAACATTGTTGGAGAGTGCAACCGCACAAAATAAAAGAGTGCTAAAAACCATGTTGATGTTGATGTTTGCAAAGAGAGAGGCTAGTGGAAGACTTAAAGGCAGTGGACAGGCAAAATGGACCCCTGTCAGATTTTGGTAGTTTCGGGTAGTGGATCCCCCAAGTACACCGTAGCCCCAACCCCAACTTCCAGTTGATGCGCTAAGTCCTGAAAAAAGCGCTTCAAACTTCCACCAATAACGCCCACTCAATGGAAGTGGGCGGGGCTGGTGGAGTTTTGAAGCGCTTTTTTCAGGACTTAGCGCATGATTGGAATGTGGGGTTGGGGCTACGATGTACTTGGGGGGTCCACTCCCCGAAACTACCAAAATCTGACAGGGGTCCAATTTGCCTGTCCGCTGCCTTTAAATTTACTGGAAAGATTCTACACGAGTAACTAAGTAACCGAATTCAAAGGATGAGGATGAAAAAGGCATAACCAAAGAGTGCTGTAGGAAAGAACCATAGCTAAAACCAATCAACATCAGCAAGGAGAAGCTACCCCTAACTAGCGTGTTAGCGAGTGGTCTAGGCAGATTGGCTGCGCGCCAGCTCTCCGGAGTCTGCCAAATTTAGGGCACCTTCGGAGCACAGATTTTCGAGTTCCTCGGTGGACTCGTTTTTAGCTCCTATGTGACATCATCACGAGTGGACCCCTCCCGCCCCTCAATGGTTAAGAGTGCCCTCCGCAGGTGTCCCATATTTGGACCGCTCTCCGGAGGTATCCCATCGACTGTCTGAGAAAACCCATCCAATCGAAAAAAATTCCTGCGCCCTCACCCTGAACAAAATTTCTCGTATAGCCACTGGATGGTAGGCGAACATGGCCTTTTTCAGCCAGTTACCACTCGCGGCTCTTCTTTGTAACAAAATTCTTTGCTTGCATGGCGGTCTCTCTCCCAAATTGCAAAGTATTGATGATATTCGGAACATCAAACGGTAATCCTTCGCAGCTTTGGTTTTAACAAAAGTCGTAAGATTGAATCAAGTGCTTTTGCAGAGGACTCATAGAACCATCAGGTTTGGTCGAGGATCTCCTTTGGGCTGATCCATCTCCGGTATGCACTGGCTTCAAAGCAAACACAGAACGTGGATGCTCTTTCGGCAAGTTATAACTTCATTTCTAACGTTCTAATCATTGAGTACTACACTATCGTCATTTCTTCATAGTATTTGGCACCGATGTAGTTGCCGAACGATGTCAGAAAATGGGCATATTGATGATTGTTCGTGGACATCAAGTAGTGTATCTCACAGATAAATTGGACGAGTCTGTGAACTACTACTTCCTAGGCTGTTGACGAAGGATTTGAGATATCAGCAGACCGAAAAGTGATTACCTTGTTCAGCGCTCCTGGATACCAAGATCATTACATTAACAAGGGAGCGGTGATGGTGGTACGAACAAAAGCGTATTATCAAAATTGAAACACGTGATAGTTTTTCTAGGTATCTGCTGATAGAACAGTGACGTTTAAGCAATTCACGAGGCAGCAAAAAATGGAAGGACGTCCGCAGTGGTTCCTACTACCCATGTCAGATTCCTAAGAGAGATTGACAATACAGAATAAATCCCAATTTCTTCGCCACTCTTCTGAAAAGTAACTGATTGAACAAACTTTTGAAGGGCTGACCTGGTTTTCAACAAAATTTTCTTATCAGCATATTCAAATGTTCATCTTTTTAGATTTTGTCTTCGGTCAATGAAGACCAAGTCGACATAGAAAGAACAGCTTTATAACAAGGAAAGGCGGCCTAGAACTTAGCTCGACCTTCTGGACGGAGACACATACATTTGGAAACATCTTGAAATGCTGAATCAATTATGCTACAAATGTATCAAGACTTAGATAATTATGCCGTAATGCCAGTAAGTTGATAGGATACAAGCTCCGCACACAAAAGGACAATAACAAGCTTCAGAATGATGCGCAGCTAGTAATAGCATAGTTGAAATCAGCTTTTTAAGCTGATTCCAAACATATACGTCTATTCCCAAAAGACCGAGTTACTTTGAATGTCTTTAGTTGTAAGAAAACATTAAAAAGACTTTGCAGAAAATTGAAATGACTAACATTTCCATGACAGTGTGAGTAGAATATATTGGATATATGTCATGACCAGGGTTGAGCATGGGGTCAAGTGTGCCTGATCTGAGGTTGTAATCAAGTTGAGAATACTGTGCTTGGACAATGAAGAACTGTAGCGTCAGATCTATAAATGTCGTATCTCCGATGAAATAAGTTCACAGTTGCGCAGATAAATAAGGTTGTGAACAGCATGTCTAATAATTATATTACCGATGTTTTAGTCAGTTCCATTCCCTACCATGCACCTAGCTGGGCATACATCACGCGATTTTATCGTCTCGCAATTCTCCCCAGCAACACAACTGTTACAACATCACTACATGCCGATTTTTCTGCATTTCGGCTGTGATAGTTCTCCTACGCACTAACTGCTGACCGTTTTTCCTAGGGCATGACTCCCTCGTCGAAATGGTTGCGATTTGCCCTGATCTCACAAGGGAACCGTGTCGAGTCGAAGTGGCCTTTCCAGATGGGACCCATACTGCTTTGAAGAGTATTAAGCGATGATTCCAAATCTGCCTTCCAAATCTGCCAAGCGCCTCTGGGCGTCGAGTTATCTTCGGAACGAAAAATGAATGCAGAATTTAAGTAAAATTGATTGTTACAATCTTTCCAGCGCTCAGATAAAGCAATGTTAGGTATTAGCTATATAAAATGTATCCATTGCATAAACAGCTCCAGTACTTGAAACTGGACCACTTAAACAGATTTGGGCGATTTTGCTTCAGTTTTGCGTTCAATTTTTTGACCTAATAAACGAGCATAACTCGGCGTCCAGAGGCGCTTGGCAGATTTGGAAAGCAGATTTGGAATCACCGATTAATGCTCTTCAAAGCAGTATTGGTCTCACCCGGAAAGGCTACTTCGACTCGACACGGTTCCCTTGTCAGCAATATCGCGTTCTGACTTCAAACGAGCGACGCGCCATATCGTTGAGATTAAACTCCTTTTCTAGAAGTTTTATGATTTCTTCTTGGATTTCGGGACTGTTTTCTTGTGTAGGACTTCAAGAATAAGTTTGATTTTGCCAGCTTGCGTTGTTTCTCACGAGAGATACTTGGTCGAAGTGGTGTTTTTATTCGAAATGTACACAATCTTATAGAGCATGTGACTCTGTTTCCAAATCTGCTTTCGGTAAATGCAAAGCTTTTTTGGAAGGGGAGTTATAGGAATTTTTTCAAACAGAAATTTGTACGCGCGACTACAATAAAAATCAATAGGAACTGTAGTTTGTGAGCGCAGGGGCCATGATTACTGCCAAAGCTCTTTATGCAATTGATATCCTTAGTCGAGAAGCTTACGCTAGTACTCCCTTCAAGCGCCGGGACCCTCATACCTGTATTAGGGGGCATTATGTATGCAAGGGTTCCGCAAGGACTCTGCGTCTCTAGCTTGCATGCATCTCGTACTCGCCCGATCCTGACGTAAGATCCGGGCCACTTAGGGGGCGATTTATAGACTCCGTAGACCCCCTTTCGCGCTGCAAACTTCTGTCGTCGCTTAGTTAGGGACTCTACTATCACATTACTACTAGAGCCAGGTACCTCTCAGTCTGGTGGGACGCTGTCTTTAACCTCATAGACCTCACATCATATACCTACCTACTGTAACTGCATGCATGGGCTCACCATGCAAAAAGACGGAACTCGTGATCATCATGTCGGATAACCCCAACGACCAAGTTTGAACAAAAATCATGACTTTGAAATTTAAAATTCAAAATTTTAAAGTTTAAATTTCAAAGTCAAATTTAAAAATTTTAAAGCCCAAAATTTCGAATACCGCCGAAATTTCTTGCGGTCTGCGCGTGAACTCTAGAAAAATTACGAACCGTGAAATTACGAAGTTACAAACAGAACTATCTGAATGGAAAAGATGGGGAATGTGATACAAATACAAGTAATTAGAGGGCATTATGTGCTCTGAGAATGCACGAATAGCTGCAGAAGTATGCCCGTGAACAAATAACCAACAATTTAGTCGCCGCGTTTTCGTCGCTACTTCCAGCAAATCGCGATGACTAGAAATGGCGGCCCTTAAAAGGCCCACCATGCGTAATCAGCATGTTAATCACATCCTTGAGCTCTAGAACCATTACCTGCTACAGTAGTAATTCCTAGCACCTGGAAAGCATTCTTAAACATGATCAAAGGCACCCTAAAGGTAATGAGAATTTATGTTTTATGGAGAGAAAAACATAAAAAACAAAAACAAAAACCAAAAACATAACATAAAACATTAGATTTTCATCACCCCTATTTGATTGGACGGTGTCTTTAAGTTACTTTCAGATACGAAGAAAGTCAGCATTTTTATACTCGTAACAAAGCAGTGATCTCTACTGAATTATGCTTTAGACTTCATTTTATATCGTTCCCGAATAGTAGATTTAGAAGTGTTCCCACAATTCCGACTACCGCGTTTGCTACATTGAGCGCTTTCGCTCCATGGACTACCACAAAGCCAAAAAAGGCTGATAGAAGCTCGTCCATCTAACGTGTAATATAAAAGGATATGTGCTAATGAACGATATAAAACTTGGATAAGAAGGATAAGGTCAATGGGGCCGCATCACTCCTCAAAAGTTCAGGGTGCCCAATATAACTGGAAAAATTCGAAATTTCTTATGTATAAAGCTAAATGTCTGTTTGTCTGTATGTAGGTATGTCGTAGGTATGCATGTATGTATTATCAGTGGCGGTCCCAGGATTCCGGATCGAGGGGGGGGGAGGAGGGGCAACACAAATTTTTTCTGAGTGAAGGTGCGTGGGCTTAGCTCGCACTCCAGAAATTTTTTGTGATGCTTCCCAATATTTTTCTGGGCTCATGACTTCAAAATATTAGAAAAAGGAGGGTGGAGGCAGTGACACCCCCGATAAAAAAATTTATTTTGCAAGGCTAATTTGAATTTTTGAAAAATTTTAAAAATTATTTTAATTATTGGGCTGTCCGAAAATTAATGCCCGTTTTGAATTTCAACCGCAATTAGTCATGCACTTTTCATTTCTAAATAGGTTGCAAAGTACTATTCGATGGAGCAAAGCAAGCCCTACAAGATGGCCATCTTGCTTTTTCTGAAGCTGTCATCCACCTCGAGTTTCGAGCCAAAAACTTAAAAGACTCAGCTGCTCGAAAAATCGAGAAAAATCGTAACTCAGTTCATAAAAATCCTACGAAAATTCTTACTTGCTCACGTAAACACTATCTACATAAGACATCTATATACGCCTTTGCCGTATTTTTTCTTCTGTTAGGAATCAAGAAAACGCAGATTTTCGTGCATTTGCCAAAGTGATGTTGTGCAGTTCCCACATAGGTAGATGTATACTACAAACCTGTAGAAGTACAAACGTAAATTCTCAGCTCTCTACAAGCCTTAGCTCTCGGGAAGTACCGAATATAGCTTTCCCTAGTCAGCTGGCCCAAGCTCAGATTCAAATTTCTCGAGAACTAAAGCTTGTAGAGAGCTGAGAATTTACGTTTATACTTCTACAGGTTTGTAGTATACAACTACCTATGTGGGAACTGCACAATACCACGTTGGCAAATGCACGAACATTTTCGATTTTTTGATTCCTAACAGAGGAAAAAATACGGCAAAGGCGTATATAGATTTCTTATGTGGATATTGTTTACGCGAGCAAGAGAGAATTTTTGTGGAATTTTTATGAAATGATTTACGATTTTTCTCGATTTTTCGAGCAGCTGAGTCTTTTAAGTTTTTGGCTCGAAACTCGAGGTGGATGACAGCTTTAGCAAAAGCAAAATGGCCATCTTGTAGGGCTTGCTTTGCTCCATCGAATGGTACTTTGCAGCCTATTTAGAAATGAGAAGTGCATGACTTATTGCGATCGGAATTCAAAACGAGCATTAATTTCCGGACAACCTAATATTTACAAGTATGAGCAAGTCACTTGCACATTTTTATAACTCATGTAAGTGACTTTCAAACTTCGGTACCCATTTTCGGGGGGGGGGGGGCTCGTACGCCACTGGTGTCTATGTATGCACATATGTTCCAAACAAAAATTTTTGTTTCTAAACCGATGCGGACCAAACTTGGCATACATACCCTTTGATTTAACTGGCTTGGCGGCTGGAGGGGGGAACGGAACTTACCTACCCGAGATATTCTCGCACCTCATGGGTGTGTATCTGCGGGGTATAATCAAGCATAGCGAGCTCGCTGATTCCAGATGCTCCTTAGGATACAGCGCTAAGCTAAGCCCCGCCCATACATAGCACCTTTTTGGCATGGAACCAAGACATTTATAAATATATATCAATTATATAGATAAAGTATTTGAATCACAAAAACATGTGCCGCGTCCTGTACATATTGATCGTTTATGGACTAGCTCACCTTCATTTCTTTTATCATTAAGGTTGCATCCTTAGGGCATGCTGTTCTCACAGAAAAATGGGTCATTCTTCTAACATTCCGAGAGGAACAGTGAAAAAGCAGTTTTACATGCG